GCATTCATATTTTATAACACAGTATTGCTATTATTCAGTTCTATGTATTTCATAATTTCTACTATAATTTATTTTCTGACCTTGAGTTGTTTAAAAATTTACTTTGAAATTTCCAAAAGTTGGGCAGCTTGGGTGGCTCAGCAGTTTAGCACTGCCTTCAGCCCAGGGCGTGATCCTGAGGACTCGGGATCAAGTCCCGTGGCAGGCTCCCTACATGGAGCCTGCTTCTCCCTCTGCCTGTGTCTCTGCCTCTCTCTCTCTCCTCTCTGTGTTTCTCATGAATAAATAAAAATAAAATCTTTTTTTTAATAAAATCTTCAAAAAAAAAAAAAAAGAAATTTCCAAAAGTCTATGGCTTATCTGATTCTCTTTTTTTGAATCCCAGAGCTAGTTACATAATTCTTATCACTGAATTCTGGCCCAGAAATGGATAGACATAAAATATGCAGATTCTAGTTTCCACTAAAGGGAAGTTATGTGCTCTCCCTTTCTTTCTTTCGTTCTGTTACAATGCAAATATAAGGGCTGGAGGTGGTATAGGCATCTTGGATCACAATGGGAAGCAGTATTTTGAGGAGAGACAGAGGAGCAAAAAAGACAAAAGTAGCCTGGGTTTCTGACATCATGTCTGTCATAGAAACCATATATTTGGATTGTTAGACAAGAGAGAAATAAATTTCTATCTTGCTTAATCCACTATTACTTTTGGAGTTCTCTATTAACTAAAGTCACACCTAACTCTAATATGAAGGTGTGTGATTATCATAGTATTAATGAAAATGAAATTAAAGACAGATTTGAGAGTCGACATGAAAAACTCCATCTGTATCTCCAATCTGAGTTGTCTTATATTCCTTTTAAGCTTCCTCAAATGACTTACTGCACTGTCTCTATCTCCTCTTCACTCTTGACCTACTTAGCAAGTTCACTAGTTCCCTTCTCTAAACAAGGACATCCATTTAACCCTGCCTTTTTTGCACCAAGTGCCCAATCCCTAATTTTTGGAGCACATTTCTAAAGTTGCAATATCTCCAACATACACTTTCCTCTATTCCTACCCACAGACTTTCTCCACTGCACTCTGCCCTGCACGGGAACTACAACATTTGCATTCCTACACACCACATTTACTGCTCCACAAGCCCTGATTAGAAACCACTAGTGGCTCCCTATTGGCTAAATGGCCATGCTACCACTTTAACTCTTGTAGTAGTAGGTAACTGACAGAATGCAAATAATTTTTGTTCACAGACATGCAAAAAAATGTTGTCTGGGAGGTTCAATTGATTTTTTTCATTTGGAAGAAGCCAGTTTTGCATCAATTTTAAATTCAGTTCAGCACTATAGTACCTACATCTGTGTGGCTCTTTGCTCCTTTAAGTCACTTGTAACATATTTCTTATTCTCTCATTAATTAATGAGTTAAAAACATTTGTCATGATTTCATTTCATATTTGTGTAAGAGCCATGATTTCATAATTTTACTTTTTTTTTGAAAAATATTCTTTTAACAAACTGTTTATTCCTATGTTCAAAGTTTGATTGCAGCCCCAACATGGGATGCTTTCTCTAGCTCTTTCTGCCTGCAACGACTAATTCTTCACATTTCAGAGATGAATCTAATCTTCTCCATCATGTCCTCGTTCCTACAAAATTCATTGTGTTTTATTCAGGTGGTGTAGACACTGTATTTTTATCTTATATAATTAATTTATTTACATGTAAGTAACTTCTCTCCTCAATGAAAGAACAGGTTCCTTGAGAGAACTGATCACAGATTTTTCTTTTCTTTCCTTCAGCGTCAACACAGTGCCTTAGTGCCTTATATAATATCAAATAAATATCCACTGCTATGTCTTATCCATGGCTCATCAACTGGGGCTATCAGTCTAGATTTTTTTTTCAGGTTTTATTTGGGGAATCAACCTGCTTTATTTTGGCTGAAAGCTGGTTCCTTCCTAAAAATTCACATTAAACTTTAATGAGGATCATAAGAGCTTTTGTGAAACATCAAATAAAGTATAATACTAATAGGAAAGGCTAGGGAAAGAAAATAAATTGATGTGCTTCTGGGGAATTTTTTCCCTCAACTACTGAACTGGTTCTCTATCTACCTCTATTCACAAAAAGTCTTATGTGAGGGTCATATATGCACAGTTTGGCCTTCATTCTCTCCTTCTACAAATGCTTATACATTGTCCAATGTATATAAGGAGTTTTTGATAGCCTCTGGGATGTTTTTGCAAATAAAATGGAATTTCTAATCCAAGAAGCTTACCTGCTAGTGAAGGAGAGGGAAAAGTTGAGGAGGAGGAGAAAAGTGGACACATGAACGTGACATAAGCATTTGGATCACTGGTGACAAGCCAAAAAATCAAGGTGTTCATACTGAGGAAAAGACCATCTTATTTTCATGTATTGTAAGTACTGAACCTTTCAAATCTCCTAATGAAACAATGAAATTTCAAACTTTTACAAATTTCTAACACCATAACATACATCCTGCATTCAACACTTTTTATGTTAATACCAACCCAACCAAATGTAGACCACCAACACTTTTATATGGTTTAAGTGCTGAGTGGTGAGAGACAAATAAATGATCTTGAGATTACTTTCAGCATATTTGATTTTATGAACTATAAAACACTTTACCAGTTGAATAGTCTACCAAGTGTATTAAATATGCTGCTTATAGTGCCATATGAACTCAAAGAACTTCATAATATTTGAACATTAACATTATTACTAAGCATTTTCATTTTTATGGTTTTACTTATGATAATTATTTCAAATTAAAACCATCTTGTAAAACTGCTACTTTAAAAAACCTCGTCCATTTAATCAATTTTATTTTACTCATGATGATTTTTTATTTTTACCTTAATTCCTAAAGGAACCCTCAGAATAATGCACTTAAAATCATACTCCATAGTACTTTTAGTAAAGAGATTATATAAATACAAGACTAACAAATGCTACTAAAATTTATAGACTTCTGGTTGTTGTTTGTATAATTTTCAGTTTTGCACGGCTTACTGGTATAATTAAAATGATTAAATAAGAAATAATAAGCAATCACATAATGATAACCTAACATTTGTTTGGCCCTAATTATTTTCACATATATTTTGCCTCTTAATTCTCACAACAACCTGACAAAGTAAGTTTAATTATTATTATCATTTTTACAGATGAAGGAATCAAGAAAGAAATGACTTGCTAAATGTTGTATAAGTGGCATTTTGTATGCTGAACCCAAGTCCTCAGTCTCAAAATTTCTGTTTTTGTTCATACTTTTAAAAAGACCATTTAATTCACAAGCCAAATTCTGTTGGCAAGACACCTCCTAAGGGTAAGTAAAATATATGTGGAAGAACACTAAACATTTTATTCACCTACAATGTCATCATACTGAAACTGAGAAGGTCAGTGTAATTTCCAAATGGCCCAGTTAAATCTAAGGAATAGATTATTTATCCACTAGAGTCTGGACACTGTCAATCAAAATCACTTGCTTACACAGGACTAAAATGTGCTCCATTAGCATCTTTCCATTTCTTACATTCACAAGATAAATATTTTATTCTTTATTGGCCACATTGTTTAAAGGTTTCTTATTTTTTTCCTGTTCATTAAAAACATAAAAAGAAAAAAGAAAAATCACCACTAGTCCCAAGTAATTCTTAATATTTTGTGTGCTTGCTTTCTGAAAGTCTTTTTTAACACAAAATATTCAATATTTGTATCATACTGTTTATATACCTGTAGATTCTACTGCCCTCTCCCCCCATATAACAGCATGACAATATTTACTTTTGAAAAATATGACTTTTTATGGCCAAATAATCTTTCATCGTAAGGTGGTATCATAATTTATTTTACAATTCTTCCAATTCACGTGGTTTTTATTACAAAAAGGTTTATTTATAAAAGTAATATAGTATTTTATAAAACTTGAAAAAATAGAGAAAGGAATGAAATCACAGTCCTAACTTTGGTCTAACAAGTCACTTGCATGAGTTTTGCTCAGTCTCTTCTATTCTTTCATTTATTTACTTATTTATTTGAGAGAGAGCATGCTAGGGAGCATGAATGAGGAACAGAGGGAGAGGGAGAAACAGATTCCCCACTGAGCAGGCAGCCTGATGAGGGGCTCAATCCCAGGACCCTGACATCATGACCCAAGCGGAAGGCAAATGCTTAACCAACTAAGCGACCCAGGTACCCCAGTCTCTTCTACTCTTTATTCATATGCCTATCACTGAAATACGCATGATTTTTTTTTCCAATTTGTTTTCTATTATAAGCCTTTTCTATAATCATAGTGGCATATTGGGTGGAAAGTCCACACTTTATCTAACCATTCATTACTATATTGTCAAACAATAAGCTGCCCCCCATTTTTTCCTAAAATCATTTAAAATAAATAATTTCACAATAAATATTGCAAGTGCATAGTCTTCACATTCATGCATCTTAACAAATTTATTCTCTAATGCTAGACTCCTACAAATAAGATTATTGAGAAAAGGCTGACCAGCTTTTAACATTATTTTGGTTATTTGGGTATTGATGAAAACAATACACAAAAATACTGAGGTTGAATATCTGCACTTCAAAGTATAAACAGCATCCCAATTTCAGCTTTTGATCAACCAGTCCTTTCAGTGATTGGGAAATACAGATGCAAATATATAGTATATTGATTACATTTAAACTGATTACATTTTCCATAGATTAGTACATTTTAGGATCATCAGTCTTGAAAGAGCAGTGAACACTTAAATATGTACATTTTTGTTTTTTTTCTCTTTTTTCACTTCAAAAATCTGTATCCACATACCTTTCAGGTATAGTTTAGTTTATTTTCCCCTTTGAATCCTAGATGTAGTTTTAGAAATGCTTTCTGGAACTGCTTCTTTTGGGGAGTGATCTGAAATCCCCTCAGGACACAGCAGTAATTCTGACAGAAGGAGAAAAAAAATGCCCCAACTTACCGTTTCTAATGCATTTACACGGTCCTGCAAATAAAGCATAATGCAGAATTATTAAAACAAAGCTATTAAAAATCACTTCAAGTTTACTCAACTTTCAGATTGTCTACTTATCCTCTATTAATAATAATGTTTTTGAAAATCTTAAAAAATGAAAACTCCTACGCAGGATGATTTCTACATTAGAGTCATGAAAGGATCACTGTACTTATCTCAGCGTTAGGACTGCAAGGTTTAATGGTAAATATCATAAACTCAAGAACAGTGCATCACTTTTGCATTGGCAAAATTATCTACTTAAGGACTTATAAGTATAACATACGTTTGAATATATGAACAACTAGATGATAGAAGTGACATAAAAAAAAGACTTTAGCACACATACCAGCTCTCAGATACACACCACAAAGTATGATTTGGAAAGTAAAGTTCAGACATAAAAATAACTCAATCAATTAAAATTAAGAAGTAATTTGTTAAGTGAAACAAGGCAGGAAAAATAAACAAGAAAGATGTTACATGAAGCCAATCTTGAAGCCAGATGGACCTTCTTCATCTATAGTATCTTTGAAGGTTTCACAGAAATCTGGGTTTTAAAAAGGGTAACTGACAATATTGCTAAAAAGCTGAACGATTAAGTAATGGTTGCATTCTCAAAACGGATCGTTGGATTCTCAACTCCTTTCAGAGCTGACAGCTACATACAGGAAGTCTTTACCAATTAAAAGAGGCTGAATTTGACAGAGGTGAGTCTAAAGATTTAAGAAAATAGAAAGCCATCTTTTTTGAGAAGATCAAAGCCACTTTTCCTTCTCTTCTTTCTTTTTAAGCAATGGGAGGAGATGTGGGAAATCTGGATTTGCTTTTTGTTTAATCAAAATAATCATTTGTCCTAACAGGCAAATGGGGAAACTGCTAGAGAGAGCTATACTCAGCTCGGCTCTCTTGGAGTCTTACAGGGACTGAAGTGGACCCCGGACACTTAGGAGCAGCAAGAACTTGGCACTCACTGCCATACTCCCAGTCTTACCTAACATAGAGAGGCCTTGCCTTTGAGGACTTCCACAATCTGACCTCATACCCTCAGACTGGGAAACTGAGTTGAACATTTCTACCTTTTAAACATTTTGCTATCTGGGTACACGTTAAATGAATATATTATGCAAAATCAGCCCAAAGCAGACTGTTCTTAGCAATATAATCTGTTTAATTGCATACTCCCAATTTTACCTAACACAGAGAGGCCTTGCCTTTGAGGACTTTCACAATCCGACCTCCTACCCTCAAACTGGGAAACTGAGTTGAACATTTCTACCCTTTAAACATTTTGCTATGTGGGTACAAGTTAAATGAATATATTATGCAAAATCAGCCCAAAGCAGACTGTTCCTAGCAATATAATCTGTTTAATTGCATTTTGTTGGCATACTTGAGAGAACTTCACCCGTGCCCCCATAATTTTCATGAAATAACTGCTGTTTTGTTGGTGACTTGTGTACTGTCACTTTTGAATGCTTCATAATAAATGCATATAATAATGCCTCAAGGGGGCTTTGATCTATTGTTACCAGGCATCTAATTCACAGTCCATCTGGGACAAAACCATTCAGCAATGCTTTATCATCCTTTGCAGATTGAACAGAAGAACCTCATTAGATACCTTACAGAGACAGAAATAGCCTTTGGGCAGTATCACATTTATGTGAACCATCTTGGAAGGCTTAAAATATTTACAGCCACTATTTGGGCCTTAAGTTTCCCCCATACTATATATTTATGGGCTCATATTATTTAGGATTAGCACATTCTCAAAGCAAACATACTAGTTTTAAAAAGTACACATAAACTAGTTTGAAATCAGAGATTTCATATGATGTCAAAACAGCAGAATTACATTTTGTCTGTCTTAATTCAGATCTCGGTGTTTGGCAAAGATAAACTGATATAATTTATGTATCAAGGTCTTCATTTTACTTGAATATTTGTTACAAGATTTTAAAAGAAATACACACCATTACAGACTGCATCTTTGTATCCTCACAGAATTTATGTAATGAAACCCTAATCCCCAATGTGAGGGCATTTTAGAGATCGGACCTTTGGGAGATAATTAGTTCATGAGGAGTCCTCATGATGGGATAAGTGCCCTTATAAGAAGTGACACAGAATGTCTGTTTCTCTTTTGCTCTCTGCCACGTAAGGATATGATGAAAGAAGATGGCCATCCACAGCCAGGAAGAAGGCCCTCGCCAAGGACTGAATCTGCCAGCATCTTGATCTTGGACTCCTTCCTCAGCCTCCGCAACTGTGAGAAATGTTCGTTGTTTAAACTACCCAGTCCATGGTAATTTGTTGTAGCAATCCATGCTGACTAAGACATGTGCCTAGTCTTTAAGACTATGAACACGAATGATCAGAGAAAACTCCATTTTGTTAAAATATAAAGATGAAGAAATGATTTACTTCAATACAATTTACTTACATCGTTTCATCTATAACCTACTTCATTCCAAATTGGTACTGAGATAGCTTTCTATGAAAAATGTAATATGTTATCAAAATGAGAACATTAGGGCAGTAGGCAATTCAGTTCATTAACCTGAATTTCAATAATTCAATTTGCCAATCAACAGCAGCTAATAGAATACCAGCCATCGCTGCAAATTAGGGAGCTTCATCTAACTTGTAGAGTTCTTTGGTATTAATATGTAGGCTATCGATACAAAGAAATTACTCCTAGTCTTTATGAACTTAACTTGCTAACTTGCTTTTAAAAGTTAAGAAATCCTTTGAAAATTTAAATGGCTAACTTCCTTTTTGGCAGATAAGGTTATTATAATTCTGTATATAAAAGAATTAGGCTACTGCAAATATTTATTCTCAAACAAAATATCTCCACACTTCCTTTCTTGTTCTTCTTATTAAAATAAAGGTAACTTAAGCCAATACCGTGGCACTCATACAGCCCATGAAACAAATGCCAGTATATGCCTTAGAATGAACATATAAGTACATCACAGTAAATTATATTCTTCTTTACCTCTTCCACTCTAACCAGAAGTGCGGTGTTTTGTTGTTGTTGTTTAATCTCCAATATTCATTTCAACAGATTTTATCTTCAAACTCAATCCAAAAGTTCAACACTCACCCACACCTCCTACTGTGAACACACACTCCCATGGAAAATAAGAAGACTGCATCAGACATTCTCTGAGGCTATTTGCAAATATTATTATCTACAAATTTTCTTTATTTTCCTTTTTAATTTTACTTCTGCTCTTGTTTTTGTTTTTGTTTTGTTTTGTTTTTTAGCCCAAACTGTCTTCTGCCAGAACCCTCCTAATTACTATCAAGTTTATCTCAACTCCTCTAATCTCCCCAGATCACCAAGCATACAGTAAGAGCCCTGATTTGCAGTGGTAGGAACTCATGCTCTGTGGTCAGTTTGGGTTCCCCTTATTGTGTGGTGACCTGTAGCAGAGGAAAAGAAGTGGAGTGAGAAGCCAAATTGAAGTCAATGCTTACGTGGTTGGAGTGGGAACTGAAGCATAAACTTTCAGATGAAAAAGAAGGTGTGCAAAATACTTCCATACTTGGATCCTGAACAGCACTGGGACATTAAAGGGGGGGGGGAGGTAGGAGAAGCCAAGAGGGCAGAGAGCCTCCAAAATAGTGAAGATGCTCTCACTAAAGTCATGATATTTCAGGTGGTTTTAATACCAGGCATTCTTATTTTTGTAGTCAAGGACTTTGAGAGTCTGATGAGACTTGATCTTCTCCCCAGGAAAATGTACATTATCCGTAACATACACATAATTCTGCAAACACTTTGAGGACAACTGCAGACTCTCAGAGGCCTTTGAGTCCTTTTACCACAAACAAAAACACTTGAAATAAGATGTTAGAATATTATATAAACAAATTATTTTGTTAAGCTGAATCTATTGATTTCTTCTATATGAAGTATTTCTGGATAAACAACACCTATAAGAAAGAAATAATTGGGAGTGGAAGGTTAAACAAAAATAAAAGGAAATGTGGCTTCAATGTTTTGGAGAAAAAAGTTCTTGGGAGGGAAAAACCTATTTTGTTGCTATTGACTTTTTATGACTTCTTTCATTTCATCTAAGGAGGGGAATGGTCTAAGAAACAGCTAAAATGGAAACAATTATTTAATGTTTACTCTAAAAATTATATACATAGTCACTGTACAGCCACTGAGTTCCAATGTAGAGTTTTAGCTATTCTTTACTATGTGAATATTACACACAATTTTTGAGTATCAATAATGCTGGTAAACAACACACTGTAATTCATTCTGCGCTTGGCAGATCAGGAAGGGAGAGGAATATTTTGGAAGAGGTCTACAACATATGTACTATAAAAAGATGTATTTTAACTTTTTATGATGAGGTTAGTAACCTGCCTTGAGCTGTATATGTACCCCTCTTCTACTTGGTCACAAGGTTGTGCATTGGAATTTATAACTGAACCGAGACAAATATATTAGCATCATTGGAGATGGGCAAATATTTGCAGGCTAAGTTAGGAAACGAGTGCTATATGGATTGCTGGTATCTGAATCCCTGATCATTAATGGTTTGATTCAGCCAAGCCAATCAATGAGACACATTGATTCATCCATCCCATCTAAGAGATGAATCAGAGGCCTTATAGGTCTAAATAATCAGTTTTGCCTCTGGTAAGTATAGCTGAACAGGCCTGATGATTTCATCACAATAATGCAGCATTTTCCACTGACCTATGAAAACATACAATACTGGTATGAGGATATAACAAGAGTCATTCTTCCAAGTCTAAGGATCTTTAAGAGTACAGAATAATTCTGGAAACTTCTCTGGGACTGAAGATCAATGATAGACAAATGATTTTCAAATTATTGGGACTCCCTCCATTACTGTTCCAAAAACAAAAAACCTTTCTGGTGAAAGAAAAATCCACTTGGCTTCACCCAGAGATACCACTGTGTGGCATTTTGCCTGTCAAATGTTAACTCTGTTTAATCA